TAACTACTTCTAGCCTACTGTTGGCTGGAAGCTTTATCTAGAAAAGTTGATCAACACATATTTTGTATGTTATGCATATTTACCATATTCTTCTTAGAATAAAGTAATCTAGAGAAAAGAAAGTATTACTAAGAAAATCATAAGGAGGGTCGGGTGTGGTGGCTCACACCTGTAATCCCAGCACTTTGGGAGGCCAAGGAGGGTGGATCACTTGAGGCCAGGAGTTCAAGACCAGCCTGGCCAACATGGTGAAATCCTGCCTCTACAAAAATACAAAAATTTTAGCCAGGCATGATAGCGAGTGCCTGTAATCCCAGCTATTTAGGAGGCTAAGGCAGGAGAATCACTTGACCCTGGGAGGCAGAGGTTGCAGTGGGCCGAGATCATGCCACTGTACTCCAGCCTGGGCGATAAGACTCCATCTCAAAAAGAAAAAAAGAGAGAAAATCATAAGGAAGAGAAAATATATTTACTATTCATTAACTGGAAGTGGATCACCATAAACGTCTTCATCCTCATCGTCTTCATGCTGAGTAGGCTGAGGAGGAGGAAGAGGAGGGTTGGTTTTGCTGTTTCAGGGGCGGCAGAGGCGGAAGAAGTAGAGGAGGTAGAAGGGGAGGCAGGAGAGGCAGGCTCACACTCAAAGTGACTTTTACTGAAACAAATCTGCACATAGTGGGCCCACACAGTGCAAGCCCATGTTGTTCCAGGGTCAATTACTTTTGTCTAATGAGGATTCTTTTCCTCCTCTTCATTAACCCTTCACCAGTATCAGCCATCTTTCTAATATTTGACAGTTTGATAGATTAAAAAATCATATCTTATTGTTTCAATTTATTTTTATGAAGTCAGGTGAGCATCATAAAAATAAATTTTTTTGGCCATTTATTTTTCTGTCTATATGTATTTTTGCCAAATTAAAACTAGATGATTCATATTTTCTTATTCCTGTGGGTGAAATAATTTCTTATGTATCTGAATGTTCTTAATCATTTCTTTATAAGGAAATCAACCTTTGGTCATAAATTAAAAAAAAAAAAAAAAAAAGTTTCCCAGCATAAGAATCACCAAAGTCAATAATGCTGGAGGTGAGGATACTTGACCCTGTGTTTGGTAGAATCGTGATAAACAGAGGATTGAGCAATAAGTAAGTAAGTTAGGCATAAGGGAAGCCAGATTTTTCATTATTAGCAAAGGGGGTTACAAATATGGAGTGGGTAAAGCTAGAATAAGCCCTGTTGGATTGGAATTGGAAGTGCTGGTGTGAGCTCATGGTCTAGAAATGGATATTGTGGTCTACCGCTTTTTTTTGAAACTTTCCCCTTCTAAAGGAAATCTCCTTGCCCTTGAACATGGGCTGGACTTAGCAACTTGCTTCTCACCACCAGAACATGATGGAAGGGGTGTATCTATATACATGTTCTTCTATACATATATATTTAATATATAAATTAAATTGGAACACTGGCAAATTTTGAATGGGGACTGTGGATAAGATAGATGGTAATAGTGAATGGATCTTAATTGATGGTTGACCTGCAGTTATCTGGGAGAATGTCACAGATTTTCAGAAATATGTGCTGAAATACCACGGACAAATGATACATAATGTTTGCATCTTACTCTCAAACGCTGTAAAAATGTAAATATGTATATATGGAGAGATAAAATGATAATACCATTGTGGTAAACTCTTAACTGAGGAATCTGAGTGAAGTTCTTTGTACTACTCTTGCAACTCTTCCATAAATTTGAAATTATTTCAGTTTTTAAGTGTTTTAAAAACAGGCGTTCCCAGTTTGTTGTTGAGGTTTTGACTTTATGTTGTTTTTTTTACTAAGCAAAAAATATTTTTTAAGTAATCCAAGCTTTATCAAGCTTTGCCCTTTTGGCTTTTGGGTGATATATCCTGTCTGGAGTAGTCATTTGAAGAAAGTCCCTGGACCAACAGCTAATTAAAGAGGTATAGTGGCAACTTTGATCCCACCTTTGCAAGAGAAACACCAACAGGCATTGAGAAAAAATTGCTCAACTTTTCTCTACAGCCATACCTTAGGAGATAGAAACATGGAGCCCTACAGCTTCACTGTCCACAGAGCATCTTCAGTTGAATCTCTAGACAATACTGCAAATTCAACAGAGCTAAAACTTGCCTGATCTTTTTGCCCTAGTCACTTCTCTGGACTCTCCTATTGCTGAGGGTCTCACAGGTATCCAGACAGGAGCCATCTTTGCAACTTCCTCTCGCTCCTCCCACATCTGGGAGGAGTAAGTGATGTGCCTTACTCTTTCTTCATCTTCTCATTACATTCTGCCAACTCCTAGTCCAGGTCCACATCCTTCAAACCTGAACTGACACTGTAGCCATCTCCATTTACCACCTCCTAGTTGCTAATCCTCAATAACTTAATCCTGGTGGAAAGCTCTCATGGACTTCTTCCATTATTGCCTAAGATTATTTATTATAATACAACTTAAAAATATGTAGAAGCCCGGCTGGGCGCAGTGGCTCACACTTGTAATCCTAGCATTTCGGGAGGCCAAGGCAGACAGATCACGAGGTCAGGAGTTTGAGACCAGCCTGTCCAATATGGTGAAACCCCATTTCTACTACATGGTGGCACATGCCTGTAGTCCCAGTTACTCGGGAGGCTGAGGCAGGAGAACTGCTTGAACCCGGGAGGTGGAGGTTGCTGTGAGCTGAGATTGTGTCACTGCACTCCAGCCTGGCTGACAGAGTGAGACTCCATCTCAAAAATGTATATATATTTGGGTATCAACTCTCTAACCTAAGAGCTTTCATCCAACTTTAAAACTAAAAGAAATTTTAAAATCAAATACAAACAAAAGCATAGAACCAATAAAATTCAAATGGACATTTAGAACCAATAAAATTCAAATGCCAGATGTTCTTCTATTGACTGTGCTGCTGTTCACATTATAGTCGTGATCTGGATGGCTTTCTCGGATTCCATCTGCCTATATGGTTATAGGTATTGATGGCCAATTTTCCCATCATTTTCCTCTATTGGAACTTCTACAAAACTGTGGTGACAGTTGCAGCACAATGTCAATGTACTTAAAACACTATTGAACTGTACGCTTAAAAATGGCTAAGATGAAGCCAGCCATGATGGCTTACACATGTAATCCCAGCACTTTGGGAGGCCAAGGTGGGGGACTGCTTGAGCTCAGGAGTTGGAGACCAGCCTGGGCAACATGCTGAAATCCTGTCTCAACAAAAAATACAAAAGTTAGCTGGGCCTGGTGGCATGTGCCTGTAGTCCCAGCTCCTCTGGTGGCTGAGGTGGGAGGACTGCTTAAGCCCTGGAGGTCACGGCTACAATGAACCTTGATTGCGCCACTACACTCCAGCCTGGGCAACAGAGTGATACCCTGTCTCAAAAAATAAAATAAATGGTTAGGTTGGCAAGTTTTATGTTATATATATTTTATTGAAATGAAAACTTTTTAATTTAGTATTATTATCAGGTGAAAGATAAAAAATTTAATGATTGTAGAGACTCTGAATATTTCTGCAGGCACCCTCCCCCACAGTCCACAGAGCTTGGATCCATTTCCCACCCTATACCCTTAACCTGGGGTCCTCAGTGAACTTCATTTTGACTTCTCACCGTGCTTCACTGTTGCCCCTCAACTCTCCTCTACATCCAACTTCGGCGCCAGCCAACTGGCATCAACCAAACCCAGTACACGTCTTCACTTCTTTGCCTTGACTCATGTTCTTCCCCAGCTGCTTGTCTCATCTATCTAATCCTTCCATTTGTCTAAGTCCCTTTTCCTCCTCACAGTGGGATGGTCCCAGCCCACAGTGACATGACCCTCAGCAGAGGGTGTCAATACACCCCATTTGGCAATAGTTCCACATTCTAAAATATTTTATCACTTACACTCCCAATCATTCCACAAACATTTATGGAAAATACACATGACCATGGGCTAGGCCCCTGAATCAAATGCTACATTTCCTGCTTTTTCTCTCTCAGAGCCCCTTAGACATTTCACAAATGCGTACTGCAGCTGTGTGGATGGTGTCCTACCAGTCTGTACTGTCATATTCCACACATGCACAGCAAAGTGTAAACCACTGAAATCAAGGATAGTATGTATAATCTTAGAATTTGCCTAAAGTAATAGGATGTTTTGTTGTTGCTAGCAGTTTGTGTTTTTGTTTGTTTGTTGTTTTTGGTTTTTTCTTAGATGGAGTCTCACTCTCTCACCCAGGCTGAAGTGCAGTGGCACAATCTCAGCTCACTGCAACCTCTGCCTCCCATGTTCAAGCGATTCTCCTGCCTCAGCCTCCCAAGTAGTTGGGATTACAGAGGCATACCACCATTGCCTGGCTAATTTTTATATTGTTAGTAGACATGGGGTTTCACCATGTTGGCCAGGCTGGTCTCAAACTCCTGACCTCAGGGGATCCACCCACTTTGGCCTCCCAAAGTGCTGGGATTACAGGCTTGAGCCACTGCGCCCAGTCTGTACCAATTTTTAAAAACAGTTGTCAGTATAAGAAAAGTTTCAGGACTGAGTTCAATGGGGATTATATAGTAGAAGACCACAGTTATGGAAGTTTCCATGATGACAGCTGCAATGTTATTTGGTCATGAATGCTTATGATCAGAACATGCATTATTTTTAAAAATCCCCCTTGAATATGATGTACCTAATAGGCATCTGTACAAACACAAACCACTTTATTCACATGCCAGAACAGTGTTTAAGTAGACAGTTGTTTGTGCGTTTTTTTTGTTTTGTTTTTTTTTTTAGACTGAGTCTCGCTCTGTTGTGCAAGCTGGAGTGCAGTTGCACGATCTCACCTTATTGCAGCCTCTGCCTCCCAGGTTCAAGCGATTCTTCTGCCTCAGGATCCCAAATAGCTGGGACTATAGGCGTGCACCACCACACCTGGCTAATTTTTTGTATTTTTAGTAGAGATGAGGTTTCACCGTGTTAGCCAGGATGATCTTGATCTGACCTTGTGATCTGCCCGTCTCGGCCTCCCAAAGTGCTGGGATTACAGGCGTGAGCCACGGCGCCTAGCCGAGTAGACAGTTTTAAGGGCAATATAATCAATTCCTTGAACCCAGATTTGAATTTTAAAAAACTATATTCAAGCTCTGAGTATTTTACTTACAGAATTTTGCCCTTGGCCCACTCCTTTCTGCAAAAAGGTAATATACTATATTTATTTGCTTAATTCCCCATTGTTTTGCTGTTTCACCATGATTTTGTACCCTCAGTCATTTCAATGTTAGTTAAAGGTTACATTTTCTTTCACTCTTACCCTTTTTGGAGCTTCATTTTCTCTCTTTATGTTCTCGAGTATAGCTTTGAGGTATAGGGTGTTTATTCCCAAGATCCACAACAATTACCTCCCTAGAAAATGTCACTCCTTTTAAAGGTCTTTTTTGGCTTTCAACAACTGAAGGAGTTCTAGTGACAGATGTGTGTGTTTTCTGCAAATCATCATCCTGCAAGAGAATGAGGACAAACAATATAAACAAATAATCAATTTATGACATCCGCTGCTTTTAAAATTATATATACACTGTTAACGAAAAATAGAAAAAGCATTTCCAAATGATATAGGAAAGCAGCAATAATCCATCATGATTACATTTTCACATTTTTTTGGCTATAAAAGCATACACTGACATATTCAAATAACATTTGGTGACATGTAATTCTCTCCACAAAGTGGTCAAACCAAAGAGCCACCTGAACCATCATTCTGTTGTGGACTGGGCATGGCCATGGGGTGGGAGGGCATGTGAGTTGTTCATGTTAGGGAGTCCCAGACATGGAACTCAAGAAGGCTCCAGCCATGTTGTGTGCTGTTGTAGGACCTTGTAACTAGCACAGGGAGCCACAATCTGGGCCTGAGCTTGGCCACACTGGAGAAGTAAACAATTCATTTTGTTTTCTCATTGGAAAACAGGAGAGCGATGGATCCCTAGATGATCTCTTAACAGCTCTAAGATTCTAGAATTTTGAGAAAAACAAACAAGAGGAATTATTAAGAAAAAGACAAAGAATGAAGACTGAGCAAGTTTCTAGACTTGGCATATGTAATGGTTTAGTAACATAAACTGATAAGCAACCAGAATGGCTTAAATAACTGTGGGCATTGGAGTCATTATACCTACAAACCTAAGTTACAGGCAACTCCATCTCCTATTAGGTATATCTAGCTAAGGAATTTATCTTCTTTTCAGTCAAACAAATTCTAAATCTGCCCCTTGAGAGTAAACATATCACCTCTTCTTGACCAGTTTCTCCAGCATTCTCAGTCTCTTGCTTCTCATTTATTTGGTTCTCCTCTTCTGCCTCCATATCTCTTCTGTTTTCTAAGGATGTGGCCAACACTTCCTTACTCTGTCTTTGGACAAGAATGCCAGGCCTCATCGGCACATTCAAGTTCACAACTTGCATTAAGACCCTAGAAAATCAATCCATAGAGTTTTAAACATTCATGTATCCTCGTCCTCACTAATACACAGAAAATAGCTTCTGCTGTATCCTGTGCCACAGTCACCTTTCATGGTCCTCTGGATTGCTTGTCACCACTTTGGCAACTGCACAGTCTACACCTCCGTTTGCATCTGTACAAGGTGCTTTCTTTGTGTCTGTATCTTTCCTGCCTTGGAAACTGAAAAAAAAAAAAGCCACAAATTCAGAAAAAGAAGAATGGCCCTGATTTTAAGGTGTGGCATAGAAACTTCACTTTTAAACAGAAAATCAGCATTTCTAAAATGCTGAAATGAAAAAAGTAGACAGCCATGGTATTATTACTTGTTCTATTTTAAATTGTTTTACATTATTTCTAGATACATTTGCTAATGTGACTTGAAATCTGATCCCAATTATCAGCATGGATTTATACCATTTATATAAAAAGACCACCAATAAAAGGAGGATGCAAATGAAGCAAATTAGAAGAATGATGAAGAAAGTGATTGCTGTGGTTTCAAAGCTCATAGGTTTAGCTAGAAGATTCATCCACTCTCACAATCACAGATTGTCCAAATATTCTTTTCCAGCTCAATTTGAATGTAGTTCTCTTGTTCTTTAAGTTTTCTAGAAACAGAGGAATAAAAGGCTGTTTTCATTGTTGTTCTTTTGGTCAGTTTAGCTTCATAAAAGATGCTCTGCTTGTTGCGGAGTTGACTCACACTGGCTAATTTCTCTCCGTAAATGTGGTGGGGGCTGAGGTGGCCAGAGGGGAGACTGAGCTAGGACACGTGTGATCATGCAGCTCACCTCCCCTCATCCCAAAAACTATCAGGATCCAGAGGAGAGAGGAATCAGAGCAGCTGGAGCTGAGTCCAGTTCCCCATTCTTCTCTCTTCAGTGACATCATAGAATCATGGAGCCCTTGAGTAACAGAGACCACAGTGCCAGTCCAACTCGGCCCATCACCTGGAGGCTGGAGAACCACGAGGCTGTTGCCTATTCTTCCCCTCCTCTGAGAGGTCCAAGTTAGAGGCCATATGAGACTGTCTTGACCATTCTCTGGGAAAGGATTTTCTCCTTACTCTCCAAATACCATCTTTCATTTCCTAATCTGAGCCTGTTTCTTTTATTGCTTCTTTCACAGACCATGAACAATTGGTCTACTTCCTTCTTATGAAATCCTTCTCTCTAGCCCTTAGCCCAAGGCTTCACTGTGAAATTCTACCAAACATTTAACGAAGAACTAACACCAATGTTTCTCAAATCTTTCAAAAAATTGAAGAGGGAACACTTACTAGTCATTCTATGAAGCTGGCATTAACCTGATGCCAAAGCCACTAAAAGAAAAGAAAGCTACAGACAAATATCCTTTATGAATACTGAATGCAAAAGTCTTCAACAAAGTACTAGGAAACCAAATTCAGTGGCATATTAAAAGGATTACATACCATGACCAAGTGGAACCTATTCCTGGAATGCAAAGATGGTTTAATACACAAAAAGCAACCAATATAATACATCACATTAGCAGAATAAAGGTTAAAAAAAACACATGATCATCTCAACTGATGCAGAAAAAGCACTCGACAAAAATCTAACACCCTTTCATGATAAAACCACTCAAGAAATGAGGAAAAGAAGTAAACTACCTCAACATAATAAAAGCCATATGTGAAAATCCTACAACTAACATCATATTCCATGGTAAGAAAATATTTGCAAATCACATAATCTATTAATGGACTGATATCCAGAATATAAAAAGAACTCCTACAACATAGCAACAACAACAAGCCCAATTTTGAAACAGGCAAAGGATTTCAAGATATTTCTCAAAAGAAGATATACAAATGACCAATAAGCACATGAAAAAATGATCATCACTAATCATTAGGGAAGTGCAAATCAAAACCACAATGTGTTACCATCTCACACCTAATTGGGGGGTTATTACTTTAAAAAGAAAAAAAAGTATTGGCGAGAATATGGAAAAACTGGAACCCTTGTGCATTGTTAGTTGGAATGTAAAATGTTATAGTCACTGTGGAAAACAGTATGGCAGTTGCTCAAAAACTTTAGTAAAGAATTACCGTATGATGGAATAATTCCATTTCTGGGTATATACACAAAGAATTGCAAGCAGGGACTCAAACAGATATTTGTACACCCTTGCTCATGGCTGAATTATTCAAAATAGCCAAAAGGTGAAAAAACCCAAATGTACATCGAAGGATGGATAGATAAAATGTGGTGGTGGAGGCGGTGGCTCACACCTGTAATCCCAGCACTCTGAGAGGCCAAGGTGGGTGTATTACCTGAGGTCAGAAGTTCGAGACCAGCCTGGCCAATGTGGCAAAACCCCATGCCTACTAAAAATACAAAAATTAGCTGGGTATACTGACAGGCACCTGTAATCCCAGCTGTTTGGGAGGCTGAGGCAGGAGAATCACTTGAACCTCAGAGATGGAGGTTGCAGTGAGCTGAGATTGTGCCACTGCACCCCAGCCTGTACGACAGAGCAGGACTCTGTCTCAAAAAAAAAAAAGTGTGGCATATACACACAATGGAATACTATTCAGCTTTAAAAGGAATGAAATTCTGATACATGTTATAACATGGATTAATTTTGAGGGCATAATGCTAAATGAAGTAAGCCAGTCACAATAGGTCACATGTTGTATTATTCCACTTATATGAGGTATCTGAAGTAGTCAAATTCATAGACACAGAAAGCAGAATCATGGTTAACAGGTGCTGCAGGGAGGGAGAAATGGGAAATCAGTGTTTAATGGCTATAGAGTTTCAGTTTAGAATTATGAAAAAGTTCTGGAGATGGACAGTGGTGATGGTAGCACAATAATGTGAATAAACTTAATACTCAGCCCTTTACCTGTCCCACCTCTCAATCCTTTAAGACTTGGTTGTTGGCCAGGTGCGGTAGCTCACGCCTGTAATCCCAGGACTTTGGAAGGCCAAGGCAGGCAGATCATTTGACGTCAGGAGTTTGAGACTAGCCTGGCTATCATGGTGAAAACCTGTCTATACTAAAAATACAAAAATTAGCTGGGTGTGGTGGCATGCAACTATACACCCAGCTACTCAGGAGGCTGAGTCAGGAGAATCACTTGAACCCGAGATGCAGAGATTGCAGTGAGCTGAGATTGCGCCACTGCACTCCAGCCTGGTGACAGAGCGAGACTCCGTCTCAAGAAAAAAAAAGAAACATACATGGAGCTTCTTGGACCCCTATTCTCCTTCGATTCTTGTTGCTTCTCCCATGCTGGAGGGGTGAGTCAGGGAACACTCCCCTCTCTGTGGTTTCTATACCAACAAACCAAGAACAACATTTGCCAGATCTTGAATTCCATTCTCTCAGTTGGGGTTCAGGTGAGGAACACTTACTCGGCTCCTTCTCTCTGTTTCAAGAGAAACAGCATTGCTAAACTCTTCTTTCACAGACTGTATGCCTCACCTTCACGTCTCTCCTCAATTCAGATGTCCATTCACTAACAACTTCCTTCCTCTCAACTATAAAATTCTTTACATATGATTTCTAAACCCTTTATCCATACAGTCCCCAAGGTGAGTTTTGTTTCTTAACTGGCATTTTGTTCATCTTAAAAGGTGAATAACCTCACTTACATTTTCAAAGCAAAAATGTGTACCCCACACTTTTCTTTCGGTAGTAGCTTATAGGCAAGGATGACGGCCAGCAATTCCTCCCATCCTGTGTGTACATGTCTCTTCTCCCATTGAGAGGGGAAGTTGTTTCCCCTCTCCTTGAACCTGAGCTGGCCTGTGACCTGCTTAAACCAGTAGAATGTGACAGAAGAAACACGGTGCCAATTCAGGCCAAGCCCTTGAGACACAGGGTAGCTTTTGCATTCATCCTCCTGAAGCCTTGAGGTACCAGGTAGGAAGTCTGACCATCCAGCTGAAGAGAGCAGCTCCCATGAGGCTCCAAATGTGAATAAAGTCATCTTTTAAATTCTTGCCCCAAATGAGCAATCCTAGCCAATGCCAAGTGAGACAGAAAAACCATTCAGCTGACCTAAGCCAACGCATAGAATCAATAATAATCACTAAATCTCACTTCTTAACATATCACAACTATAGGCTTTCTTCTATAACTGAGTATGCCCAAAACCCCCTTCGGGATTTGCCTTGTAAGCAAGGGTGGAGAAGTCTGTTACACTGAGGGAAGATAGAATATCCTGATGCTCAGCAGAGGCGAGGAAGGTGGATCTTTTCAAAAGTCAGCAAAACTCACAGGCTATTTAAAAAGAGCGTTCTGATAAAAAAAAATACATCTGAAAGGAAGTCAAATATATATTTGAAAAGAAGGGCCAGGCATGGCCGTTTATGCGCCTCTAATCCCAGCACTTTGGAAGGCGGAGGTGGGAAGATCATTTGAGTTGAAGAGTTCAAGACCAGCCTGGGCAACATGGAGAGACCCCCATCTTACAAAAAATAAAAAAATGAGCTGGGCATGGTGGCAGGAGCATGTAGTCCAAGCTACTCAAAAGGCTGAGGTGGGAGGATTGCCTGAGCCCAGGAAGTAGAGGCTGCAGTGAGCCATGATCACACCAGTGCACTCCAGCATGGGTGACAGAGTGAACCTGTCTCAAAAAACAA